TCCTTTTTTCTTATGTTCTAGAGGTGGTGGTGTGAGCTTTGAAATCATGACCTTCACAACCATAAGTCGAGCAGAATTTCTTACCCTTGATAGGGCAGTCTTTGGAGAGATACAGGGAGAAGGAGCTCTAACATGGCGTGATATGTTGAATTCGCTCAGCTTCAATAGTAGTAGTGAAAGATGCCATTCCGCCATAATAACATCAATGAAGGTAATCTTTAGCATTGAAGGGGCATTTGGAATCTTGGTGATGTAGTCCACAGTGGCCCAAGAATTCTGAATTTCTATTGATGTCTTGAGTTAGTTGATAGTTTGGGTTGTTATAAGTTTGTCCATTTATTTAATTAAAACGAATCTCTTTGCCGTCATTGCTGGAGAAGACAGAACGTGGAAGCACGTTCGTTGAGAGTAGTTATAATGGTAGAAGTCATCAATTTTTCAGCTACAAAACCGTCATTACAGACGATAATGAATGCATCGTTGACCGAAAGAATCGCATTAAATTTGACCTGCAAGCTACCTCTCACTGCTAGGCTTAATTTTCACACGATTTAAAAAATACATCGTGGAAGAGCACAGATGACGAGTGCAGAAGGTAAAAGTCCCCCTCCCCAATGGGGATCGTAGGTACAATGCAGATTGAAAGTTAAGACACATGTGCAACATCTGGATATCTTTATTGTAGACGTTTCGCCATCCAGTGGCTTTATCAATACAGATTCTAGGACATAATTGGAAGGCTGTAGAACTATATACAAAAGATGAGGTAATCAGTGCCTCAGTCTTGGAGTTAGTGTTCACAGCGTCGTGGTGGTGGAGAATCTGGAGCAAAGGCAAGAAGACTGGCGCTTATATGGGCGTCATAATATAAGCTTATATAGGTGTCAGTGGATAAGGACGTGTAGCAGACGAGGACATAGTCACTGGTAGGCGGGATTCCCCAGTGGAAGTAGGTCCTTCCCAAAGCGATGGGTTAGTTGCAGCAGCCGTGAAGGTCTTGTAGATGTCCTCTGAACCAAGATTCCATGATGTTGCAGTGTCTGACAAGTTGTGCAAGAAAGGTATAAAATACGGACAATATGAAAGTATGTTGCACATGTGTCTTAACTTTCATATTGTCGGTATTTTATACCTTTCTTGCACACTGCAGAGTGCTGGAGTGCAGATTGAAGAGTTCCTGAGAGTGAAAAGAAGTCAGCACGGCAGCCTGGTCCAGAATGATTTGATCTGCTCGAACACAGACGCTTCCACAGAACATACTTGCTTGGACTTCTCCTCTTTTCTTGCGACCTCCTGATGTGTTGATTGCAAACGAAAGGCCTGGAGCTATCATTCAGTTCCCCCCGCTGTTATTAGGTGCATATATATATATATATATATATATTATATATATATATATATATATATATATATATATATATATTATATATATATATATATATATATATACTTATATATATATATATATTTATTATAATATAATGTATACAAAAACGAGACTGTCTATTAATTAGTGAAATTTCCAAGCGCTTCGTGGCTTCTCACATTATCTCACAAGAAACTGTAGTTCCTTGATAATGGTTGATAGTGATTGTTTTGCATATTTTGAAATCACTTGTTTACTGTGAAATTATTGCATATATTTTATTTTTTATTTATTTCCTGATCAATGAAGGTGTTGGTCCTAGCATCATGCCATTTAACATGAGCACCAAAGGCAGGTTGATTATATACTGAACTTATCGTGTTTCTTCCTCTTGAAGACATCCAGGGGTGTGTTGGAAGTTCCCTTTGTGTATGAATAGTGTTGAAGAGTCTTGGTCCCTTTACACTTACTGAGTCATTTCTTAGTGTACTTATATCACCATTACTTTTTTTAGTGAAGGTATTTCCCATGTCTGCCACGTCTCTTTTTCTCGTAGGGAGTGATTTAGTGTGCAGATTTAGGATCAATCACTACACAAGTTTCCAGGTACAAATTAGGGTAAGATTAAGAAAATCTGTGAGTGTGGTAGGAGGTGATGGAAGGAGGGACGTGAGGAGAGAGGAGTAGAAGGGTGAGATGAGGGTAATAAAGGATGGGAAAGGGAGAGGCATGGCTGCTGTTGACAGGCAGTGACAGTAGTTGGGATCATTTGAGGGGTCGGCCAAGACGTCCCCTCATCTCCCTTTTTTTTTTCCTGGGTTTGGTACTCCCTTTCTCCCTTCATTCTGCTTGGCTCTCCCTCCTCCACACCATGGTTGACACTCCCTCCCTTCCTTCCCTTCAACATTCTTTGCCCTCCCTCCTTGCAACATTCTTTGCCCTCCCTCCTTGCAACATGCTTTGCACTCCCCTTAAACATGCTTTACCCTTCTTGCAACATGCTTTCTCCTCCGTCCTTGCAACATGTATTGCACTCCCTTCCCTTCAGCCTGCTATTCCCTCCTCGTGCTAGACCCTTCACACCTTCTCTTGTTCAGTAGTTCTCGGCTATTGGTACCAGCAGCAGGCACTACAACGTGAACATCAGCCTGGTTGATCAGGAACTGAAAATTTCCACTTGTGTTGTCCTCCATGGATGTCACTTACAGTAGTGAGCAAATTAATTGGGACAGGAGTAAACATGTCTTAATCTCCGGCTTAATGTAGTTTAGTTTTTTTTTTCCATTAGAGTTTGCTACCGACTTCTGGCATCCATCCAGCTGTGGTGTTACCCTGCGACTCTCGCCAGTGCTACTACAGCTGTTGTTCTGTAAGGCTGTTCCTGCAAGCGTGCTCAGAGAGTCACTGTGGTTTCACCATGAAATTCATGACAGATGTTACACCTAGGAAGCATGCAAGTATTGTAGCTCTCAAAAAACATGCTGATTTGAGTATCAGACAGATCGCCGAAATTTTGAGCCTAGCAGATAACTGTTGGTGGGACTCTGGAGAGAGCTGACGACACTAGTGATTGTGATCCACTGCGTCGAGGAAGATGTGAAAGAAAACTCAAGACAACACCTCAGGATGACAAGGTCATCATAGTGTGAAGGCTCCAAAGAAAACCAGCAAAGATCTACAGAGGGATTTGGCTTCAGCTGACGTAAACGTTGACACTTCAACTGTTCAACGAAGGTTCCTTGAAGTTGGCAGGACTTCCAGAAAGCCGGTAAAGAAACAATTATTAACTGCTTTTATGTTGGAAAAACGGCTGCAGTGGGCACTCAGTCAGATGTGGCGCATTTCGAAGTACATGGGTACAGATCAGTAGTAGTGAGACGGAGCAAAGGCGAATCTCTTCGGAATGAACACATTCAACAAACGCCAAAAAACCCAACTAAGAAGATGTTTTGGAGTAGTTTGGTGCTAAAGGCCCTGGACGGCTTGGTAATGTTGAGGGAACGATGAATAGTGACAAATACAACGTAGTCCTGGCAACTCATTGTGGATAGAGACTTTCCTGATGGAGAAGGCATTTTCCAGCAAGATCTTGCTCCATGCCACACTTCCAGAAAAATGCTGACATTCTTCGAAGAGAGTCGGCTAAGCGTTCTAAATTGGCCTGGAAACTCTGCTGATCTCAACCCATTTGAGAATCTGTGGGCAATAACCAAACGCAGGATCGCGAAACAGGACTGTTTAACTGTGGAGAAGCTAATTGCTGCCGTTATTAGGACCTGGTACCACGACAACCAAGTTGCTAATGCTGGCAGCACGCTGTCCAACGTGCCAACTATAGCCCCGCTGGTCAGAAACTTGTCAAGGTCCCTTTTAAATACAGCCAGAGGTTTGTTGGTAATTCTTATGAAGGGATGGCGTCGAAAAGTCGGGAACCTCTGACACTCATTGAGTTCTCTCTTACTGTACTCTACCTCACATTCCACCTTCCTTCAATTCATCCACTTTCTTCCCTCCAACCTTCTTGTCCCTTTTCTCCCCTCCCTCTCTTCCTCCCTCCCTCACATTTTCCTGCTCAGCTACTAAAGTAGGCCAGTGACCCTCCAACTCGCTGCCATCACACGTTTAATTTTGGAATCCCTTTGTGACCTCTGCTCTCTGCTCTCCCTCTCTCTCTCTCTCTCTCTCTCTCTCTCTCTCTCTCTCTCTCTCTCTCTCTCTCTCTCTCTCTCCTCTCTTCTCTCTCTCTCTCTCTCTCTCTTCTTTCTCTCTCTCTCTGCTCTTTTTTTTTTACACAGGGTTTGACAAAGTTAGGGTAAGGGTTCCTAACTTTATTTACAAGATAAGACCTATTACCTACATAAGCTCATTTGAAAGCCATTTTAGTGTTGTTATTTTCTCTAATCTTTCTGTCTTCCGTTTTTTCATTCCTCTTTCTCTCCCGTCCGTCCATCCTCTCTCTCTCTCTTTGTCTCTGTCTCTGTGTCTCTCTCTCTCCTGTCCCTCCATCCTCTGTTTCTCTCTCCCTGTCTTTCTATCCTTCCCTGCTCCTCTTCCAATTTCATCTCTCCTCCGCCACTCTGAGTTTCCTGGCCTCCACTCCAACCTTAGCTCCCTCTTATTCCCTGCCCCTGTCGTCTCAGCGAGTGATCTTGACTGAGTCGTGCGAGCCTGAGAGAAATGGTCTCTGCTTCTTTGACAGAGCATCGTCAAGTGGACTGAGTTTGCCAGGGGTTTCAGGGCAATTATTGGCCCCGTGTTGGAGTCCTCCTCTTTCATATCGACGATATTTGTACTTGACAAAGCTTGATTGATGCCAGCAAAACTCTGAAGGTGACTTTGATCATTAAGAGTTTCTCAGGTCTCTTACACACACACACACACACACACACACTCACTCTCCTAAGACACGCATCAACCAAATAACTGCTGCAGCAGATGGACGCCTGGCAAACCAGGCGTTTCGACACCTGAGTAAGAAGTCATTCAAGACTCTGTACACCGTGTACGTCAAGTCCATATGGGAGTATGCAGCACCAGTATGGAACCCACACCTGGTCAAGCACGGTGAACATGGTAGGTGAACACGGACAACAGTTGCCTATAGGTAACACGGACTTCAGTGGGTGAGCTGAGTATGCTACCAATCGAGCTACGGCTTGGTCAACATTGCACATGTTTTCAACATGTTTTTTTTTTTCGTACAGGTGAACGGGCGTGATGTGAGTGGACTGAGCCACGCTGAGGCTGTGACTGTATTTCAAGAAGCTGAAGAACCTATTATGGTGCAGGTTCTCCGTCGCCCACACCACCCTGCCACCACTACCGCCACCAGTACCACCTCCACCAGTACCACTCACCACCAGTCCACGCCCTCCACGCCCACGCATCCTCCAACCTCCACCACGCCCACGCCTGCCACCTCGGCTAGTGGGTCGTCCACACAGCTGGAGGAGGAAGTGGAGAGGAAGGAGGTGGAGGTGGGGCAGGTGGGAGGAGGTATCAGTGTTACAACTGGTACACAGACGGAGGTTAGTTATTCCTCTTCCATGAACTGTTTGTCTGTCTCTCCCATACTGTCTTCCTGTCACATACACAGGCTTTCCCCATACACTGTCTCATACACAGTCTGTTTCCCCGTACTTAGTGGAGTGGAGTGACTTTCATTAGTTTCTTTTTTCTTGAAATACCAGACGTATACTGTGAATTTCATATAACCTGTAGTTACCAGCGGTCGCAATATACACAACGAGAAGCAATTATTACTACAGAAAAAACGTCCTTCCTCCAAAATTTGCACCAGTCAACTATAGTGATAATATAGCATTTATTGTGGTGGAGACGGAAAAAAAATAGAAAAGCTAGATACAGCGATTGATAAACAAGGGTTGAGGTCGACCGTTCGTCATTGTAGGAGCTGCCAGCAGTCACCGGCTCTTCAACACGCAAGTTATACTTTTGTATCAATCAAATCACAGATTACTCGGGTAGATAATTTCCAGTAGATCCTTCATGTGTTAGCTCAAATCACCGACCAGTATGGTTTAAATAAGTGACCCACTGATCAGATCAGACTGGCTCCGAACCCTCGACTGGTCCGAACCCTTGACTGGTCCGAACCCTCGACTGGTCCGAACCCTCGACTGGTCTGAACCCTTGACTGGTCCGAACCCTTGACTGGTCCGAACCCTTGACTGGTTTCAAACGGTTTCGTTAGACAATAAAGCAGACTGTAAACGGATGGGGTTGTAGGCGCCCTTATAAACACAAACATTAAATATATATCAGGAACGTGCACGGTAAGCTGTCCAATATACAAAAACAGTTAGAAACAGAAATACAAATAGCTAGAGCTTCATTTAAGGAGGTTATTAATAGAATATTCAAGAGGGTGCTATTAGAATTGCAGTAAATCAACCATTCAAATCACTGTGAAGCTGTGTGTAGTCTGTGGTCAGTCAAACAAACGGGCTTCCACATGCATAAATTGTCATTTTTGTGGAAATTGGTGTCACGCCCCTTGTGCAGATATCCAAGAACTAGCTACAAGCAGTATTAAAACAGGGAAGTGTTTTTGGGTATGCCCAAATGAGATAAATCTGTGGACTAAAATCACAAGGGTATTAAAAGAGGTCAACATCAAAGCTGCTTTCATAGAAAACCTGAAGCTTTCTACAACAGATGGGACATAAAAGTCTGGGCTGAATGGTACTGCCCTTGTACTGGCCATGTAGTCAGAAACTGTAAGGTGGAGAATGTCCTGGTGTCAGTAAATGTGGGGCTGATAGTGCTGTCCTGAGAGACAGTAATGGTGAAGGGAGGTGCTGTCCTGGGAGACGAAAGTGAGTGGGGGTGCTGTCCTGGGAGACAGTAATGGTGAGCTGGAGGTGCTGTCCTGGGAGACAGTAATGGTGAAGCTGGAGGTGCTGTCCTGGGAGACAGTAATGGTGAAGCTGGAGATGCTGCCCTGGGAGACAGTAATGGTGAAGCTGGAGATGCTGTCCTGGGAGACAGTAATGGTGAAGCTGGAGATGCTGTCCTGGGAGACAGTAATGGTGAAGCTGGAGATTTTGTCCAGGTAGTCGGGAATTATACGCAGGAAGGAATACATATAAATGACCTCAGAGGGGACAGGAGCCATAGTAGGGGAACAAGTGTAGTCAAAGATAAGATAAAGCCAATATTGCAAACTAGAAATACCGCAGGAAATAGCAAACAAGAGGACTCCACTAGCAATAGGGAGGATATATTACCAAAAACAACTGGTGGGAGCTCCATTGTTGGTGCTAGGGAGGTAAGACAGGGAAACATGCACCAACAGGGAATACAGTCACAGAAACCCAAGGCAAACGGAAACCAAGCCTGTGCACATACTATGCACTCGGTATCTGCTGGCATGGGAAATCTGGAAAAACAGATGGGACGTTTCAACTATGACCACCCTAGAAAATGCCATGCCCATATGACAACAGGAAAATGCAAACTCCCTTCCTGTAAGCTTTTTCACCCTGAACTGTGTACCTCTTCAGTACAGGAAAGACTGTGCTATAACTTAAATTGCCAGGCATACCATCTAAAGGGGACAAAAAGATACAAAACATCCAGGCCATGGGAAAACCTGGGTAGCCACAGCCACTCAAGAGGAAGAGGTTTTTTAGTGCCAGGAAGGAAAAAAAACTGGCAGGAAATGGCAGAAATCGTACACCAAATCCAGTCATTCCTGGAGGGGAAACCCACAGTCGATGGCCTCCACTCCAAACCAACAGATACAGATACTAATGCCGGAAAAAAAAATCCCCCCCAGTACCAACAATACCACTAGTCCGATAACATTCTTCTTTGCAAATATACAGCGTCTAAAGCCAGCAACAAACAACAAAATACCTTTCATCCGGTGGACTGCTTGCAGAGGCAAAGGCAGTGTTCGCGGCTTTCACTGAGACCCACATAAAGGATCACTTGGACAAAGAAATATGGATCCCCAGGTTACAACCTATACAGATGTGACAGAGTGAACAGGCAAAAGGGGGGGGTTGGCCTGTACATTGCAGAGTCACTTGTTTGCACAGAACTGCTAAATGCCTCAAATGATGTAGTGGAAGTTTTAGCAGTAAAGGTCGAGAACCAAAACCTAGTCATTGTGGTAGTCTAAAAAGCCTCCAGATGCAACATCCCAGCAATTCCAGGAACAGCTGTTAAAAATTGACCACTGTCTGGAAAATCTTCCAGCTCCTGCACCCAACATCTTGCTCCTGGGGGATTTCAACTTAAGGCACCTAAAATGGAGGAATATAGCAAATAATATTGTTGCAGTAATAACACCAGGAGGCAGCTCTGATGAAAACTCACACTCACGCGAGCTTTTAAATCTCTGCACAAAATTCAATTTAAACCAGCAAATAATAGAGCCTACTAGACTGGAGAATACGCTAGACCTCATCTTCACTAACAATGATGATCTGATAAGAAATGTCACCATATCAAAAACAATATACTCAGATCACAACATAATTGAGGTTCAGTCATGTATGCGCGGAGCCCCAGACCGACATAATGAGATTAGTCATGAGGGAGCATTCACCAAATTCAACTTCAATAACAAAAACATAAAGTGGGACCAAGTAAACCAAGTCCTAACCGATATAAGCTGGGAAGATATACTAAGCAACACAGACCCCAACTTATGCCTAGAACAGATTAACTCGGTGGCACTCGATGTATGCACAAGGCTTATTCCTCTAAGAAAAAGGAGGAGTAGATGTAAAACAGAAAGAGACAGGCGCTCCCTTTACAGGCGACGGAAAAGAATAACAGAGCGGCTAAAAGAGGTCAATATATCTGAAATGCGTAGGGAGACACTGGTCAGAGAAATAGCAAGCATCGAACTTAAGCTAAAAGAATCCTTTAGGAGTCAGGAATCGCGGGAAGAACTAAAAGCCATAAATGAAATCGAAAGAAACCCAAAGTATTTCTTCTCCTATGCCAAATCAAAATCGAGAACAACGTCCAGTATTGGGCCCCTACTTAAACAAGATGGGTCCTACACAGATGACAGCAAGGAAATGAGTGAGCTACTCAAGTCCCAATATGACTCAGTTTTTAGCAAGCCGCTAACCAGACTGAGAGTCGAAGATCAAAATGAATTTTTTATGAGAGAGCCACAAAATTTGATTAACACAAGCCTATCCGATGTTATCCTGACGCCAAATGACTTCGAACAGGCGATAAATGACATGCCCATGCACTCTGCCCCAGGTCCAGACTCATGGAACTCCGTGTTCATCAAGAACTGCAAGAAGCCCCTATCACGAGCCTTTTCCATCCTATGGAGAGGGAGCATGGACACGGGGATCGTCCCACAGTTACTAAAAACAACAGACATAGCCCCACTCCACAAAGGGGGCAGTAAAGCAACAGCAAAGAACTACAGACCAATAGCACTAACATCCCATATCATAAAAATCTTTGAAAGGGTCCTAAGAAGCAAGATCGCCACCCATCTAGAAACCCATCAGTTACACAACCCAGGGCAACATGGGTTTAGAACAGGTCGCTCCTGTCTGTCTCAACTATTGGATCACTACGACAAGGTCCTAAATGCACTAGAAGACAAACAGAATGCAGATGTAATATATACAGACTTTGCAAAAGCCTTCGACAAGTGTGACCATGGCGTAATAGCGCACAAAATGCGTGCTAAAGGAATAACAGGAAAAGTCGGTCGATGGATCTATAATTTCCTCACTAACAGAACACAGAGAGTAGTCGTCAACAGAGTAAAGTCCGAGGCAGCTACGGTGAAAAGCTCTGTTCCACAAGGCACAGTACTCGCTCCCATCTTGTTCCTCATCCTCGTATCCGACATAGACAAGGATGTCAGCCACAGCACCGTGTCTTCCTTTGCAGATGACACCCGAATCTGCATGACAGTGTCTTCCATTGCAGACACTGCAAAGCTCCAGGCGGACATCAACCAAATCTTTCAGTGGGCTGCAGAAAACAATATGAAGTTCAACGATGAGAAATTTCAATTACTCAGATATGGTAAACATGAGGAAATTAAATCTTCATCAGAGTACAAAACAAATTCTGGCCACAAAATAGAGCGAAACACCAACGTCAAAGACCTGGGAGTGATCATGTCGGAGGATCTCACCTTCAAGGACCATAACATTGTATCAATCGCATATGCTAGAAAAATGACACGATGGATAATGAGAACCTTCAAAACTAGGGAGGCCAAGCTCATGATGACACTCTTCAGGTCACTTGTTCTATCTAGGCTGGAATATTGCTGCACACTAACAGCACCTTTCAAGGCAGGTGAAATTGCCGACCTAGAAAATGTACAGAGAGCTTTCACGGCGCGCATAACGGAGATAAAACACCTCAATTATTGGGAGCGCTTGAGGTTCCTAAACCTGTATTCCCTGGAACGCAGGAGGGAGAGATACATGATTATATACACCTGGAAAATCCTAGAGGGACTAGTACCGAACTTGCACACGAAAATCACTCACTACGAAAGCAAAAGACTTAGCAGACGATGCACCATCCCCCCAATGAAAAGCAGGGGTGTCACTAGCACGTTAAGAGACCATACAATAAGTGTCAGGGGCCCGAGACTGTTCAACTGTCTCCCAGCACACATAAGGGGGATTACCAACAGACCCCTGGCAGTCTTCAAGCTGGCACTGGACAAGCACCTAAAGTCAGTTCCTGATCAGCCGGGCTGTGGCTCGTACGTTGTTTTGCGTGCAGCCAGCAGCAACAGCCTGGTTGATCAGGCTCTGATCCACCAGGAGGCCTGGTCACAGACCGGGCCGCGGGGACGTTGACCCCCGGAACTCTCTCCAGGTAAACTCCAGGTAAACTGTCCTACACACAGTCTGTTTCCCCATACACCATCTGTCTATCCCAAATACAATCTGCCCCAAACACTGTCTGTCCCATACACTGACTGTCTACATCTGTCTACTTAGTTCAACGCTTTCTGTTGTCCTGTTTTTCCTATAATTTCCCTTTGTTTCACTCCTGATTTGTGCCTCGCTGCACGTCTTTGTAAATCATGGGGACACACTTTTGTAAATCATGGGAGACACGGTTTGTAAATCATAAGGAACACATTTTTTATATCATGGGGAACGAATTTTGTGAATCATGGGGGACGCTATATTGTATTTTCCTTACCAGAACAGATTTACCTACAACATTCTGTCGTATCTGGAGTAATATTTCTCATTTCTGCTCCTGTATTTTATTCAGTAATTTATCGTTCCTTTGTAATAAATGTGTGTGTGTGTACGTACCTATATGTGGTTGCAAGGGTCGATTCACAGCTCCTGGTGTGTGTGTGTGTGCTCACCTATTTGTGGTTGCAGGGGTCGAGTCATAGCTCCAGGCCCCGCCTCTTCACTGACTGCTACTAGGTCCCCTCCCCCCCTGCTCCATGAGATTTATCATACTTCATCTTAAAACTATGTATGGTTCCTGCCTCCACTACGTCACTTTCTATGTTATTCTCTATTTTGTTGTTAAATAAAGAGTTGAATGGCATGTTGGTCGCAGTGTTCACCTGATTTAACACAAGATCTTTGCTTTTTCTACAGATTTCGTTAATGGGCGTGAGTGAGTGGGCGGCGGTGGCGGCGGCGTCAGAGTGGGTGGGCGGCGTGGGTGAGGGAAGTGACTCTGACTCACCTGACGGTGACTATATCTTCCCAGGTGTACTTCCACAGTCACTCTCACAGTTCCTTGAGCAGGAGATTGATATTGAGGTGAGTGTATGTTGTCTCCTACCACAGTCATTGGCACAGTCACTGCCACAGTCACTAGCAGTCACTGCCACAGTCACTACCACAGTCACTACCACAGTCACTACCACAGTCATTAGCACAGTCACTGCCACAGTCACTAGCACAGTCACTGCCACAGTCACTACCACAGTCACTACCACAGTCATTAGCACAGTCACTAGCAGTCACTGCCACAGTCACTACCACAGTCACTACCACAGTCATTAGCACAGTCACTGCCACAGTCACTAGCAGTCACGGCCACAGTCACTACCACAGTCACTACCACAGTCACTACCACAGTCATTAGCGCAGTCACTGCCACAGTCACTAGCAGTCACTGCCACAGTCACTACCACAGTCACTACCACAGTCATTGGCACAGTCACTGCCACAGTCACTAGCAGTCACTGCCACAGTCACTACCACAGTCACTACCACAGTCATTAGCACAGTCACTAGCAGTCACTGCCACAGTCACTACCACAGTCACTACCACAGTCATTAGCACAGTCACTAGCAGTCACTGCCACAGTCACTACCACAGTCACTACCACAGTCATTAGCACAGTCACTGCCACAGTCACTAGCAGTCACGGCCACAGTCACTACCACAGTCACTACCACAGTCATTAGCGCAGTCACTGCCACAGTCACTAGCAGTCACTGCCACAGTCACTACCACAGTCATTAGCACAGTCACTGCCACAGTCACTAGCAGTCACTGCCACAGTCACTACCACAGTCACTACCACAGTCATTAGCACAGTCACTAGCAGTCACTGCCACAGTCACTACCACAGTCACTACCACAGTTATTAGCACAGTCACTAGCAGTCACTGCCACAGTCACTGCCACAGTCACTACCACAGTCACTACCACAGTCATTAGCACAGTCACTGATACAGTCACTAGCAGTCACTGCCACAGTCACTACCACAGTCACTACCACAGTCATTAGCACAGTCACTGCCACAGTCACTAGCAGTCACTGCCACAGTCACTACAACAGTCATTAGCACAGTCACTGCCACAGTCACTGCCACAGTCACTGCCACAGTCACTACCACAGTCACTACCACAGTTATTAGCACAGTCACTGCCACAGTCACTAGCAGTCACTACCACAGTCACTACCACAGTCATTAGCACAGTCACTGCCACAGTCACTAGCAATCACTGCCACAGTCACTGCCACAGTCACTACCACAGTCACTACCACAGTCATTAGCACAGTCACTGCCACAGTCACTAGCAATCACTGCCACAGTCACTGCCACAGTCATTAGCACAGTCACTGCCACAGTCACTAGCAGTCACTGCCACAGTCACTAGCAGTCACTGCCACAGTCACTACCACAGTCACTACCACAGTCATTAGCACAGTCACTGCCACAGTCACTAGCAGTCACTGCCACAGTCACTACCACAGTCACTACCACAGTCACTACCACAGTCATTAGCACAGTCACTGCCACAGTCATTAGCAGTCACTGCCACAGTCACTACCACAGTCACTACCACAGTCATTAGCACAGTCACTGCCACAGTCACTAGCAGTCACTGCCACAGTCACTACCACAGTCATTAGCACAGTCACTGCCACAGTCACTAGCAGTCACTGCCACAGTCACTACCACAGTCACTACCACAGTCATTAGCACAGTCACTGCCACAGTCACTAGCAGTCACTGCCACAGTCACTACCACAGTCACTACCACAGTCATTAGCACAGTCACTGCCACAGTCACTAGCAGTCACTGCCACAGTCACTACCACAGTCATTAGCACAGTCACTGCCACAGTCACTAGCAGTCACTGCCACAGTCACTACCACAGTCATTAGCACAGTCACTGCCACAGTCACTAGCAGTCACTGCCACAGTCACTACCACAGTCATTAGCACAGTCACTGCCACAGTTACTAGCAGTCACTGCCACAGTCACTACCACAGTCATTAGCACAGTCACTGCCACAGTCACTAGCAGTCACTGCCACAGTCACTACCACAGTCATTAGCACAGTCACTGCCACAGTCACTAGCAGTCACTGCCACAGTCACTACCACAGTCATTAGCACAGTCACTGCCACAGTCACTAGCAGTCACTGCCACAGTCACTACCACAGTACTAATGCAAGTCCAGTTGACAGTTTGGTAGACACACAGACTGATGTTGTAGAAGCCAGATTTAGGCTTAGTTACAAGTACTTCTGACAGACACACATGGTCAGATTAAAGGCATAGTATGTGATCAATCTTCGATCACTTCTTGAACACACTAAGGTGTTCACTTAAGCCTTAAGTGGTTCCCAAACTGGGGGTAAATTACCCCCTGGGGGTAATTTAACCATTTTTGGGGGGTAATGGAGGGGTGACAGAAAAAAAGTTATTAATTCTGAAAATCAAGAAAACAATGTGGTACCCGGTATGAGGATTATTGTTAACTTTGTCTTAGTATATAAAGTTGTAAAGTAAACCTATTATAAGTAAGTAATAAAGTTAAACCAAATAACAATAAACATCAAAAACTAATATACAGTATTAGAAAAGAAGAAATATATAGCTAAGTGTGTGGAAACCCAAAAGTATTTTGACAAGTATGCTTCAGGACAAAAGTCACTCAGTAGCCCAGATCGACCTGTCCAGTACGCGTCACTCACTTCCTGAGGCTGCCTCTATTTCACACTGTCAGTTTATCTGTGAGCATCAGCCGAGGTAGACATAAGCTGGTATGTATGTGTACTGCCCTGTGCAGTATATAGTTAGTATTTACCCACTGTTACTCTGAATTTGTAGCTATTATTAATTTTATATATAATGTATGTGTGGTTCTTACGTTTTCAATGGTTTTGCTAGGATTAGCAGAGTATGCGAGGCTGTATACGTTCACGTTTAGCCAGATATATCAATAATAACAACATTTTGTGAAAGGGGTAACATGCTTTATGTGGCATGTTAAATTGGGTAACAAGCTGAAAAAGTTTGGGAACCACTGAGTCTTAAGGTAATTTTCTTCAATAGTAACCTTGACACTTGTTTAGAAATATACACTACATGACTTAGGTACAATACTAAGGTATCTTTTTAGTGAAAATAAGATGCCAGAAATTCTGAGAAATATTCTTTCATTTCGTATTAATATCTTGATTATTGTTTACAAGTGGAAATACTGGAAATGTATTAAATGTTTTAAATGGCAGCCGTTTGTCTGTATAGGCTAGGCTTCAAGATTTTTGCTTATCCATATTCTATGTTGTTACCATACACAGCATGGATATATGGTGCTACCATGCACAGCATGGATATATGGTGCTACCATGCACAGCATGGATATATGGTGCTACCATGCACAGCATGGATATATGGTGCTACCATGCACAGCATGGATATGGTGCTACCATGCACAGCATGGATATATGGTGCTACCATGCACAGCATGGATATGGTGCTACCATACACAGCATGGATATATGGTGCTACCATGCACAGCATGGATATATGGTGCTACCATGCACAGCATGGATATATGGTGCTACCATGCACAGCATGGATATATGGTGCTACCATGCACTGCATGGATATATGGTGCTACCATGCACAGCATGGATATATGGTGCTACCATACACAGCATGGATATATGGTGCTACCATGCACAGCATGGATATATGGTGCTACCATGCACAGCATGGATATATGGTGCTACCATACACAGCATGGATATATGGTGCTACCATACACAGCATGGATATATGGTGCTACCATACACAGCATGGATATATGGTGCTACCATACACAGCATGGATATGGTGCTACCATGCACAGCATGGATATATGGTGCTACCATACACAACATGGATATATGGTGCTACCATACACAGCATGGATATGGTGCTACCATGCACAGCATGGATATATGGTGCTACCATACACAGCATGGATATATGGTGCTACCATGCACAGCATGGATATATGGTGCTACCATGCACAGCATGGATATATGGTGCTACCATACACAGCATGGATATGGTGCTACCATGCACAGCATGGATATATGGTGCTACCATACACAGCATGGATATGGTGCTACCATACACAACATGGATATATGGTGCTACCATACACAGCATGGATATGGTGCTACCATGCACAGCATGGATATATGGTGCTACCATACACAGCATGGATATATGGTGCTACCATACACAGCATGGATATGGTGCTACCATACACAGCATGGATATATGGTGCTACCATACACAGCATGGATATGGTGCTACCATACACAGCATGGATATGGTGCTACCATACACAGCATGGATATATGGTGCTACCATACACAGCATCAAGGCAGCTTTTCTGAGAGGAGACAGTGAATAACTCGGTAAATAATGGAGGGTAGTTGGGAATAAGGGTGATGAAGGGGGGAAATGAGGAAGGAGAGTAAACGTGAGAGAGTAAATAAGGGTAGAAATGAACATAGATAAACTAGGGGTAAAGACGAGAGAGAGAGAGAGAGAGAGAGGGTAAGCAAGGGACTTGATATATGAGAGAGGGGAAGAAGCAGGAAGTGATAACTGACAAGAGTGGGGAATTTCATGAAATAAGGAGGTGGAGAAACACAGGAAGACGTGAGGTAAGGGAGGAAGAGACGCAGAGAAAGATAATAATTGAGAAAAGGATGTAGACAATAAAAGAAAAGAGAGAATAAGGTGAAGATTATATATATATATATATATATATATATATATATATATATATATATATATATATATATATAGAGAGAGAGAGAGAGAGAGAGAGAGAGGAGAAGAGAGAGAGAGAGAGAGAGAGAGAGAGAAAGAAAAAACTTTTCTCTAAACTAATTTGCTTGGACTTCCTATTCATTTCTGCAACATTGCAGGCTTCTGATGTGTCAATTACAATATGTAAGGCCTAGAGCCATCATTCAACTCCACCTGTGGTTGTTTTGCATATAT